GTCATGTTGCTTAAAGTAAGTTTTTTCAAAGCTGGAAATGGTATAGTTGAATCTCCTCTGCCTTGGCTGTTGCTTGTGCACCATGTTTTGAGCTCTGGGCAATCCCCAATATGCAACTCCTCAAGGCAAGAAAACACAACCATGCCTTGTGCTGTTGTGCTACCCTCCAGCTTTGTCATCTTACTTAATGTTAGTTTTCTCAAAGCTAGAGATGGTAGGATTGATTCTCCTTCACCTTGGCTGCTGCTTGGCCACCATGTATTGAGCTCTGGACAATCCTGAATATGCAACTCATGAAGGCAACAAAACACAATCATGTCTTGTGCTTCTGTCCATTTCTCCAGCATTGTCAGGTTGCTTAAAGTAAGTCTTCTCAAAGCTGGAAATGGTGTAAATGAATCTCCTCCGTCTTGGCTGTTGCTTGCACACCATGTTTCGAGCTCTGAGCAATCCCCAATATGCAACTCCTCAAGACGAGAAAACACAACCATGTCTTTTGCTGTTTTCCATCCCTCCAGATTTGTCATCTTACTTAACGTTAGTTTTTTCAAAGCTGGAAATCTTAGGATTGAGTGTCCCCCACATTGGCTGCTGCTTGCCCACCATGTTTTGAGATTGGGGCAATGCTGAATATGCAATTCCTCAAGGCAAGGAAACACCTCTGTCCATTCCTCCAGTTGTGTCATGTCACTTAACTTGAGTTTTCTCAAAGCTGGAAATGGTTTTCTTGATTGTCCCCCACCTTGGTTGCTGCACCTTTGATGAAAAGACATTCTGCCTATCCTACTCACTTTTCGCATTGCCTTTATATTGAGAACCTTAAGCTCAGGTAAGAGTTCAAGGCATGAAATATCATCACATTCATCACAATCAATCAATTTCAACTTCACAAGCTGTTCCAGATTCATCATCCATGAAGGGCAGTTGCGTCCCCCATAATTCTCAATGGTTAAGCTTTTCAAATTTGAGTGAGGTTGAAGATGTTCCAGAACACCCATATCTTTGTCACTCTCGGCTCTGTTTTTACTCCATACAAATTGCAACTTGGTCAATTTTCCTTTATCTTTAAGTTTTGCTTTACTAGCTTGTGAGTCAGATACCAGCTCAAGCTTGCAAATTTTCAGTTTTCCTCTGAGTTCCGTCAATTTTTCCAGCTCTTCAATTCTCCGACCCTTTTCTGTGCCCACAACAAATAGTGGCAAAGTCTGAAGAGAAGCTAATTTCCCAATGCCACCTGGCACATGCCTTTCATCATCAAAATAAATATGCCTCAAGCTGACGAGATTTTCAATACCACTTGGAAGCTTTTCCAATGAATGGCAGTCTGTGAATCTTAAAGTTTGTAAATTGTAGAGCTTGGTGACAGAGTTTGGTAGTCTTTTAAGTGCACTTTCTGATATGTCAAGGTATTTCATGTAATATTTCAATCTGCCAAGGGAAGATTGCAACCCATTTGCATCAGCAGCTGCTAGCTTTAAAGATTGCAAACTTCTGGACTTCTTAGGCATCAGGTGCAAAACATCAACATCCAAGAACAAAGAGTGCAACCTTTGAGGAACATCTTCTGGAACAGTTTGAAGGTTTTCATTAGACTTAACCCTCAAATGCCGAACACTGTCCACAACTTCAGGGGTATCCGGCCAAATACATGTTTCATATTCTGCTGAGAGCAATGCAAGATTATGCACCTCATCATGCATCTTGCAAAACTTTATATTCCCACACTCATCCATCTCCACGTCTTCCAATAAGTAATTGGATACCAAATCATTGAAGTACTGGTTACCAACATCTTCTTCTTTATCTGATTTGCTGTGGGAAAGAAACCCATTAGCCATCCAACACTGAACTAATTCATCTCTTCTAATTTTACAATTTTTTGGATAAATTGAACAGAAAGAAAAGCATTTTTTCAAATGTGGATGCAAGCAATCGTAACTTTTTTTCAGGTGAGACAGAATCTCCTTTCTATGTGGTGCATGACATGCTTTATCATTTCTGATAGCTGACCACTCATTTACCCCAATACGAGTGCTCAAGTGTTCGCCAAAGACAGCTGCAACTAATGGCAAACCCCCACACTGTTTTGCAATATCTTTTCCAGTAGACAACAACTGTGGATCTTTTATTGAAGTTCCGTTGGACGATCTGAGAACAATCTTCTCCATTATCAGCCAGCAGTCTTCATCTGATAGCTTTTGCAATTCATACTGACGCAAAGGAATTGTGTCCATTATCGAAGCTACCTCTTTATTACTAGTTGTTATGACAACAGAGAACCTAGTAGTTTCGAATTTTTCTGGCAGATAAGAGATGAACTTTTTCAACTTTCCAGCATCAGCTTCATTCCATACACCATCAAGGATGAGAAGAAATTTTTTATTTTCTAACTTTGTTTCAAGATGACCAAGAATTGCTTCTTCATTTTTCAATCCGCCAGCATGACTATCAAGACATTCCAACATATCTCCTAAAATCATCACTCTATCAAAAGCCTTATGTACCAACACCCAGGCTGGTGGACTGTCGAGGTCATTTACCCTTGCCCTCGCCCTTGCCCTCTGATATATTGATCTAGCTAATGTTGTCTTTCCAACACCTGGCATGCCAACTATGGAAAGGCCAGAGAGGCGATGTCCCTGGCATGGATGTCCCTGGCATGGCAACTCATCCAGCAAACTTTCAATTTTTGGGACATCAGCATCCCTTCCCAAAACTTCAAAATTATAAAATGAATCATCAGCTTCTCGCCTAGCAGCTTCACCATTTTGGTTGCCATTTATCGGTCTATTACAATTTGGTTCTTCAAATT